CTACACGTGCACTACTCGCGACGTCAAATGGCGCGAATCCGCGCGCAGAAATACGCTCTCCTTTCCGCCACGTTCGCTCCGGTTTTCGTCCGAGGAAAGCAACACACCACACACGTTCAGTTCCTTCGAGCAACAACTGCGGCAACGCGCGCCTCACGACAGACGGACGATTTAATCCATTCAGTGCTGAGGAACGACGGGTTAAGTGGCCGCGATAAATCTCGCACGGTGAATCTTAATTACCGCCCACAATAGCCCCCGCCCGTGGTAAGTATCGTTTCGTTCGTGGGGTCTATCAGGGCGCCCTAGAAAGTTCGTAGGGTTTTCGTAGTGAGGAATTTCGATTCCAATTACATTCAACGTTTGCTCCACCACGATGTTCATAGGTACTTACCCGCGCCACCGGAGAACTGTTCACTTTTTCCGATTGGAAATAATTCGTCACTTCGGGAATCTCTAAACAGAATGATCCTTGTCACTAGGAATACTCATCTTCCTGGAAGATCTGACTCTTGTTCGAGTAAAGTGAACATAACGGTATTCGATTGGGTAAACTTTTATAAGGTTACACTTTGTGACTGTTACAAGTATAAATGTCACATTCTTATCCTCTTCTTTTAGTCATTCACACATTGCCTTTAAATTCGCAATAAATAAGATCTCGTGAATCGTCAACGGTGCCAGGATATCTTTCTCCGCGGTTCGTTGATCACCCCCTCATTCTGAATGTACTTGGAACACCACTTTCGTTGCTCAAATGTTCCACGAATCCTCCAGGCTGCAGTACAGTAGTATACATTCCAAGTTTTCCACAGATCGAACCAACACGCGCGATCGACAGCGTTTTGAACACGAAAAAACGGTATAATAACGTCGACGACAAATTTCTCCTGTGTAGCGATGCATACCAAGATTATCTTGCCGTGACGCTCGACGAACGCAAGAAAATGTTGCAAAACACACGGATACCAAGTTTCTACTGACTGCACGAACTTTCCGGGGTAATATACCTGATATTTGCCCCTCACCCCCCCTCCCTAAAAACGCTCCTCTTTCAACCGCACAGTGGTGATCGGGAGTATATGTGTACACGGTGTACCAGTGCACGATCTCTTGGTCACGAGCAAGAAACATCGCGTGGAAAGCAGAGTATGTATACACCCGAGCGTATTTTCGGTTCGTCGGTTTCTCGCTTGGACCCCGAAACTGCACTCACGTGTGTGTCATGATCGTCGTCGACGGGCTTCGGTTTCACGCTCGAAGCTTGGTGTCGTCCGCTTTGTCCGAAGATGAAGTGAACCAACCAACCACCACCGAGGGGGCAAGTGCCATAAAAATGAACGGAAGTTTTAGGCGCGGGAGCAAGTGAGACGGAAAAACAGACACAGAGTGAGACAGAGACAGAGAGAGAGAGAGGGAGGGGCGAAGGGCAAGCGGTGGCGGTGGCGGTGGCAAACTGCTGGAAAAGCACGAGGAAGCAAACGGCGGTATAAACGTTACGAGACGAGTCACTACGGAATTCTCGCGCGATAGAATGGAGGTGGCGGGCGTTCCTCCAACCTCCCGTCCGCACGGTTACCTCCGGTGCTTTGCCCCTCCTATTGCAACGGTGGCGCTTGAACGCAAGTGTAAGTTCACATTAAGGTAGGTCGTGGCCAAGAATATACGCCTACCCGCGCGACACTCTTGGTTCCGTTCGTCGGAACAGAGGGAGGTGGCGGTTGAAAAATGATGATCCCCCTCGTATAAAACATCTTCGATGAAACGGTCGCGGAAGATAGCACGTGGTCCCGCGAAATAGAACCATTGTGGCGAAGGGAGGGGGGTGGGGCAGAAGAACGAGAATACAATATTTATATAAGTTTCCGCGCCGCGTCGTCGTTCCATGTGCTTGCAACATAAAAATGCTTCGGGCTTTTTTGGAACGATCGGCCTTTCACTCTTCCACCACCGTGTATCCTTGGATAATGTTCTGTAACCGCCGATACACGGTGATATTTATCGAGTGATCGATGCTAATTAGAGACCACCACTGTTCACAAGAATCACGGCAAGGATTATCTCTACGTTTGCTGCTTGTGCGTATGTATACCGTGATACTCGAGATAGAAATTGGTCTGTCTTGTACCTTCAGACACTGCTGCGACTCGCGAAGTATTCTTCAGGGGCTACGTACGTCCAGACCGAGTCACGTGTAACCAGGGTTTTGCGAAATACATATCCGTAAAAAATGATATAACATTTCAAGCCCGTTTGACATACGTGGCTGGATGAAGAGTTTGCTACACCTCTGTTTTCAGGCCGTAAGTTCGAAAGTTTCTTAATGAAGCAACGTCTATTTCAAGTGTACATATCTGCGATCAGTCCATTGCACACGCACCGCCCTACCTCTCGGGGCCCGGATCGAAAGCCGTAGTTGTAAAGGTTGAAACGTGCATGTTTAGATGGCACACCCAACGGATCGCAGTGTAAAGAAAATAAACAACGTACTGTCGTGACTGATAATGAACGGCAATCATCAGACAAAGTAGCAATAACGCAAACTGGTTGACGTATTACAATGTTTTATTGCTGACAATTTACTTGCGTGCTCATGACTTACATGCGGCAAGATTAGTCGCAAAGAAGGAAACGAAAACGTTCTCGAGGACAAAGAGGGTCACGACCGGTGTGTCGCGTTCTCGAGGCGGCGTAGGAGAGCATGAGGGTGTCGCACACGCAGAGATAAATAAACAAGTCAACGCAAAGTTTCAGTAATAAAAATTCATAATTCCTCTTCAATTTCAATAAACGTTCACCTAATACATTTGTCCTTCTTTGTACCATAGCGTATAATATATACTTCACTTATGTATTTTTTTGTTACTGTTTTCCTCGGTTAACATATGCACAGGACCTCGAAGGGCTCGTGCGCACGGGTGTGTATGTGTGTGTGTTGAAACGCCATCGTACACGCACGCATGTCGTTTATTGTGCACGTACGACGGGACGCACCGCTTCTCGTATGCTCTCTCTCTCTCTCTCTCTCTCTCTCTCTCTCTCTCTCTCTCAGCTACAGTCGTTCGCCTGTCTCCCCAATATCTATACGCATATGAAAAAACACATGTGCGCATGCGAAATGCCACATGACACGCGCATCGATAATATTCATTACACTCCACATTCTACGCGGGCGCGGTGTGTAACGCTCTGCAAAAAAAAATACGGATGCGGCGGCCACACACGTGCACACATACACACACATCCGAGTAGGGGTAGCATGTGTGTACAGTTTTCGTTTCTCTTTTATATTTGATTGAAAACCACAAGGAAACACGGTCTCCCGCACAACGATCATTAAGAATAAAAATAAGTGTGTCGTAGTAGAGTCGTACTAAGTAAATATAGTGTAGTAGTAAGTAGTAGTGGTAATAGTGATAGCGGTAGTAGCGATGATAATAGCACTGTTGGTACATTTTATCGACAGCAAAATGGATTATTTTTTCCTTTTCCGTATCTTGTTTCTTCCATCTCGTAACATAGCGTTGCAGAACTGCGTATCGATAATTGATCATTGTAGCCGTTTACCAATACCGTCGTATATACAAAGTACATACAAGTGCACCACGTTTTTTTTTCTCTCGTATGCCGTTTAACAAGATTTACAAGTAATTCCGATTTGCTTATGTATATGTATTGTATATGTATAAATATATAAATTTATATGGAGATATATAGATTTATATATTTATACGAGTAGGCGTGTATGCGTATCGTTAATAAACATACACACTCACTCACTCACTCACTCACTCACTCACTTACTCATTCCCCCCTCTTTATTCACGATAATCGGTAATTAATTAGTCTCTCGCGCGATACAACTAACACCAGAAATTTGCTTCGCCCCGAGCAACGCGTATTAGTCGAGAATTAGCTTGTGTTAATTAATGCGATCTCGTTTTACATCTTCCCGACAGTCAATTCTGATTAACTAAATGAATTAATTTACACAAACTAGCCAGTGTCAGGCGAGGAGACACGTTCCCTGTCTCCTGTATACATACAATGAAATAAATGTGTCTAGTTTGAATCATTAATATATTAATTAGTCTCCACCTAGCAACGTGTTAATTGTTTTATTACTCAATATATATTAATACGGTGGGACCAACGCGGTGTGACACCGTGGAACCTCCGTAAACAGAAATCATTCTCTATTTACCCAATTTCGAAATTCGTTATACACTATTTTACAATCGCCTATATATTATTTACAATTCTTTCCGTAACAGCAAATCATGTATCCTGTGTAAGTAACCCTAATCCACATACCGTTTCTTCCTCCTCCATCTCTTTCATCTATATAATATGTACATTTGTCGTGTATGCAAGAAAAATATCTCTCTGAATGTAATCAATTGGAATTGTATCTTTGGATTGCGACCAAAAATAGATTTAAGTAACAAGTATATATGTATAGGTGGGGTAGTTTCTCGATTAAGGATGGTCGATCATGAAAGACATTGGCCGCGCTTACAGCTCTACGAAATCGAACGGCGATGCTAACATAAACCAGTTTCGAGACTCGACACACGATAGCGAATGCTTTTTCGTTGTTTTCAATCCGTAAACCGTATTTCAAAAATATAAGTGAATAGGTATCCTTAACAGTACTAACAGGAAAGAAGAGAAAAAGAGAGCCAGTCATCGTCGAGTTAAAATCGACCATCCTTAGTCTAAATCATAATATATAAATATATATATAAATCATATATATATATATATATATATCTATGTATATATTTATATATTTGTCATCATATAGTACCTATGATGAGAATTAATATTCTTCCGATATTACTCGATATGCAAGTGCAAAAGCATTTTTTTCAATTTTTCAACATTTTTTTATACTGATCGATTTATACTGTTTGAGTTAATAAATTCTTCTATCTATCATCTACTATTGACATAGGCAAATGATTTCTCACCTGATGGCATTTTTTACATATCGCCTGCGTATATTTATATATATAATATATATAATATATTAGATTCATAAAAAAAAATTAGATATAACTGCAAAAATTCTAAGTACGTCAAAAATACCACCAGGTTGTACTCATTAATTTGTGCTATATCCGTTAAAATGTATAACGAAGAAGTACCTTTTGTCAGACCTTCTCAAAGCAGCAGCCCTATCACAGTGTGGCTCGGAGGTGAAGGCGATTTCTCTCTCCTTAAGGGGACCAGACTTATAAAACAGACTCTATTTGTTTAATTTCTTTTTCGGGTGGTTCTTGCGGAGATGGCGCAGTTTCCACGATTTCAGGAATATCGTCCTCGTTCTCTTCCTCGATATCTTCGTCGATCGGAGTCAGTGTATCTAATATCACAGGCTGAGTCTGCAACGAATTTTACATTTCGTGTTATCTTATTGTGCAATCATATCCAATAGTTCGTTTGCGCGGATTATGTACGTTAAGGTATGCACCTGCGGCGTTGTGCACCGTTTCATAGCCGGAGCCATGAAACTGGTCACGGTGCTCATGAAGAAGAAGAATCCTGCCATGAAGAATGGGATGCTATAACTTCCCGTCGCATCGTAAACGGCACCTGCCAGAGGTGAACCAATGATAGCAGCAGCTCCTCTGAATAAAATTAGAAGGCCGAATGCGTTCGTCAATTTGTCTAACCCCAAGAGATCTACCAAGATGATTGATGTCAATGAAATGTATCCAGCTGAAATAACAAAAGAATCAAAATAAAGTTATTATTCATTCTTCGCTTCGACATACAGAGTATGTGGTGTAATACTTACATATAGCTATACCGAAGAAAATGCTCATGAAAATATAAGATAGGTAAGAATGGCAAAATGGAGTTGCAGCTACTGCAACCGTCGATATGATTAAACAGATATTATTCAGCAGCAAAGAATCTACTTGTGGGAAGTCCGCGACATACCCACAAGCTACACGGCCCACGGTGTTCGTAATACCAATAATGGATAGTAAAAATGACGCAGAATTGCTTTCAATACCCTGGAAATTATATAGATTTAAATATGAATCATGTAGAATTGAAGTAAAAAACAAAGGATTATAATATGTAACTTACATCTTTCTTGGCAGCATCTACTAAATATACAAAGGGAACATACAAGCCAGCCATTCCAAACACGTTACTGATACCAATTAAAAGAAATACTGGATTCTTCAGTAGAGATACATCCATCATCGTCGCTAAAGCCTCTTTAAACGAGTCAGGCAACACCAAGCAAGGGCATAGTGGTTCTAGAATATTTTCAACTGTTATTGAAAAATCACAGGTCACTGTGTTTCTTTTGGTTGAGTAACTACTTACGTTGAGGAGCTTTCTCGACGTCGGTATCTTTAATATCACCACGAACAGATTTTGGTAAAGAAATGACACTTTGACGATAATTTGCGAGTGACTTTTGACTCTGATATTCTGGTAAATTAACTACACTGCCACTGTAAAAAATGTCTTTCCTTGACAAAGGCCGGATAATCTGTGGCTTTTCCTTTGGAATACTAGATTTGCTAGTTGTAAAGGTAATGCTTTCACCATCCTGTAACAACATATCAACATTTCAGAATGTAATGTATTGATTAGAAACATGTGAGAATGTATTGAAACAGCACATACATCAACTTCCGCGTTATTATTCCGTGAACCCATCACGCTGTTCGTCGAAAGTCTTAGGTGCAAACTTTTCCTAATATCGCCATTAGAGTTCAATGTTGTTCTGGAATTCTTAATCGCACTGAGACTTGGTTTATATCTTTCTCCAGTACTAGTTTTGCGAATTCTATCGAAGAAAGGTACAGAACCGTTCTTAGGTAAGCCTTGGACATGAGTTGTGAAAGCTGGCTGTGAAGCATTTCTAGGCATCACTGGCTTGAACTCGCTTTCAGACTTTTCTGCATCTTTTGTATCTTTGGTATCGTCGATATTTCTTTTGCTTTTTGACTTGGTGGAAATATTCTTTAAATCCATACTGCCACTATTACTAGTTGCTCCACTGGAGGAGTGTTCTTGTACTTTCACTTCCGATATAGTTGGGAGGGTTGGCACCGTTGGAACTGGTGTTAAAGGAGTTCCTTTAATATTATCAGTATTGAATGGAATGCATGTCAGAACACCTTACTTAAACAATCTTTTAATGGACATGACTGAATGAAGTGTACTAAACATTAGCTTACCAGGCACTAATTGGTCTAAATTGAAACTAGAGTGTACACCAGGATCAATATTAATAGGCATCTTCATTCTTTTCTCCATGGATCCATCAGGCAGTTGAACCATGAAATATGAACCGCCGATACTTCCACGCTCCATTTGAAATCTTTTCTCTTCTGCCATTCTTTGTAATAACGGTTTAACGGACGATGCTTTGGGGTATTCCAATGGCCTCATTAGCGCACCAAACACCTAAAATTACATACAATTTGTCGTCCACAATAATCAACAACATGAAATTAAGTCTTGTATTTCACAACTTTCATCAAGGTGACTTTCTAAGGTACTTACAGCACAGTTTAAAATAAGGCCAGCGAGAATTAAATTTGCTCCCTTCCAACTATATGCTTCTAATAACATTGTTGCAAGAGGTGCGAATGCAAATGTGCCAAACCCTGAACCACATACAGCAATGCCTGTAGCTAGAGATCTTTTGGTTTCAAAATAATAACCTACGCAAACTACTGCTGGTAAATATATTAGACCAAATCCAATTCCTGAAAGGAACAGTACAATGAAACGTGAAATTTGTAGAATTTATAAGAAGAAACTGTATAATAATGCAATATAATGTACACACCTCCCATAACACCATAAGTCAGCATAAGCATATTTACACTGGTTGAAAATGTTGAAAGTACAAATGCCACTGCGCCTAAAAAACTCCCAGCCATACATACTGCCCTACATCCATACTTATTTGTTAAAGCACTGACAACAGGTCCTGAAAAAGAATGATACCATTAAAACTCAACTATCTCCATGATTTAAAAGAAAAGTGTAACCATAATCAAGATATTTACCAGCACTAAGATACATGCCGGATAACAATGAGCCAACCCATGCAGTTTTGCCTTTCCCTTCTCCAAAACATGTAACAAATTCTCCCAGAAAAACACCAAATGTATAAGCAATACCATCTACTATCATGTTACACATGAAGGATGCAAATACCACCACCCAACCATAACCACCATCCGGTGGAGGTGGTATATCATGGTATTCACATAGTGATCCCCCTTCATCATCTGGAGATGTTTCATCACCTGTTCCATCGGTACTAGTTAATCTTGCATTCTCCTCCACAGAGTATTCACTTTCCGTCTGTAAACAGAACAAGAACGATGATTTTTCAACAATATTATTTACTAAAAACACAATTTTAACAAATAGTTTTTAAGATCTTGTTGCATTGTAGCATTGATATTTGTGTTTGCCTTGACTAGAGTAGGGGCAGTTCACCTTGAATGCAGCAAGAAAAAGCTTCCTTTTATGCTGGTGCATAAACACACAGATACATCATTGAAACTGATTAATTCATTCTTAGGAATTCTTAGAGACATTAAAGAATCATACATATGTATTTAAGACCCAATGCAGTCCTCTTTAATTAAAAGGTAAATTTTACATAGGAATGACAGAAGTTTTATAAACTAATGAAATCAGAAAAGTGAATCAACGGAAACAGTGTTCCGGAAGATGCTTCCTCGAGCGTAATGTGAGAACGAACGACAACACCGTATTATAAGAAGATTTCATAATGCAAACGCAAGCACAGATATTATATGGCTACTGTGGCTTAGGTAGGGTCCCTGAGGCTACGTTTACCCCGGATAAGGTAGCAGTTCTACCGAATCGAATAATGAGAAAACTATATCGATCGTTTGATTAAACGAACCGTACTTCCGTAATTAAAAAATTTCGAGGGCCATTGAGTCTAATGAACCAGACTAAAATTGACAAATTCGTTTATTCTTTGTTTTAAAACGTGTCACACTAACACACGGTTTTATTTGCAGACATTTCGAACGGCTACAGGATTCCCGAACAATGACCTCAAGTGACGACACATTAACAAATTGAACGTAGCTAACATATACGAATGCATCGTGAACAGAGTTTAAAATTGTCTTCGATGCACTCAAAATATTCTACGTCTGAACAAAATATTTTATTCCCAAAAAATAATGTTTCTATTACTTTTTTACGACATAATTTTGTACTTGATTTTTTTGATTGTTTAAAAAGAAACCACCCTGTTCATTTGAATACCTGGTCGGCAGTGACTTAGCCGAATGGAAGGAAGGTCAGTACGATCAGCTGATCCGCTGTCATTAGAATCGGTAAGGTGTACGCCACCTAACGTGAGGGCAAAGGAACTTCGACGAGAGTATTGTTTTCGACCTTGTTTTCCGTGGCGGTCGGCATCGTATTCGCGACGGATGCAAATCGTGAAAAAAGTGAGGACAGTGTTGCAAAAGTATGTGGAGAAACTCGTACGTGTGCACACGGTGTGCAACTCCGTATTCGCTTCGCGGGGATCCTCGTTAACTCCGATGAAAGTGTAAATTACGCTGACTGTCAAGGCTAAGTCACGTGTCGTCCCCAAACGAGCAAACAGACGAACGAGAGCGCATCGTAACGCGGCCAGGCGAATGAGATCACCCGAGGATGAAAGTTGAGGGGCGCGTATACTATACGCGTACGCATGTTTGCTGGTCAGCAGGCAGGCACGCACGCACGCACGCAGCTACCAAATAAACACGAAACTTCGAAACGTACCGTGCTGATCTTCCGCACGCGACGCGAGCCGTACTGGCTGTACTGCGACTTGTTGAGCGACACGCGCGACATTCTATGATCGCCTTAATGTCACACTCTGCGCTCCTTTCGTCGTGTTGGCCTCCACACACAACCGTGTGAAGTTCTATTTTCGTAGAAGTGCACGCAGCTGCGCGCTGTATGCTCTTCCTTCTCGTTACTTTATCCCGCAAGGTTTCCTACGCTACTGCCACTTTCAGCGCGCCTTAAACTGCCCCTGTGCGATCGCCAGGAGTAGCAGTATCAGTCGTCAAAATCCGCTGCCATGTCCGCTGTTGCACTCGCGCGCCCCGTGTCAGCCCCTCTAACGTACTGGCATCGCGTGTCCCACTCGGATTCGAGTGGAACCAATACTGAATACAACAAAAGAACCAGTGTCCAATACGGAAAACACAGGTTTTTAATGGGAATCGAGCGAACGTTAATTGTGTCGTTGCCGCACGGGTCACAACGGATATGCACACAGAGTACGCGGATGATGCGCGTTCTAGCTCAGGTCTTCGACGAAGTCCAGCCACGAAACATTGGATATGCACGCTAACGAAGCAACACTACACACCTCGTGAAACAATACGGTAAGATCGAATTGTCATGACAACTTCTCGGTCACCGAGGCTGCTGGCTACTCGTAGACGTGTGTATAACTGCTGCGTACCATAGCGCGCGCCACGGAAATTCTATTTATACACGAACACCGTGGTGTATAGCGTTCTTCCTCGAACAAAGTAACTTTATTCCGACTACGCGTGCAACGTCCTTTCTTCTGTCATCGCGTTCATGCGATTCTCGTGCATTTTGAGACATCCAAACGTTCGATCGGCGGTACGTCGAGGTATCAATAGGGGACTGTTCAGAGTTCAGAGAGCCACTGACGGTTACGAACGTGTGGTGCGTTTGCGGTAGGTGTTTTAATCTCGCTCAGTTTTCTAGGTGAATTCGATGCACAGGAAGGACTGAGCGGCACGGCCCTCGACAAGGATTTAAGTACTCGACGAACAAAAGAAGCTTCGCACAACGAGAGAGCACGGAGCCCTCGTTGAAGCGACACTGATCGCCCGTGCGCGAAAAGTTAACCTATAAATGCGAAGCGTCGCACAGGCGTCCCCACCCTGTCACAATTACGTGGCGCGACACCAGCCGATACGATACAAATCCGCCGTCGTTCATGGCTCCGAAAGACACCTTGAATCGTCGAACAACCATGGTCTCATTTTTATTTTACATTTTAAATACGTTCTAATCGAGCGAACCGAGAACCGTGTCTCGTTCAAGTGAAATTGAACAGGAGAAACGTAGACGCGAGAATAGAACGACATTATCGATTTCATAGTTAATGACCATTTTAGAAATTCTGTTTTAATGTGCGTAGTACGAGCGAGCTTTTCGATACCAAGTGATTGATTCACTTAAAATGATTTGTGACCTTCCGAAAGTGTTACATAAACGGACGCTACGAAGAAGTATTAGAAAGCTCAGATAATGATGTAAACAGTTCGACGAATTATACAGCCCTTCCTCTCTTCGGCATATATTTTAGAGATACGATTCAGACATTTAAACTGTACGCTCTTCGATTTTTCCTGTTTTCTACCTTTAGTATTATCATCTTTGTATGTTTTGAAAAGAAAGTACAAAATCATATTAATTGTACCGCCAATAGACTTTACGATTTCAAGTCCAAGATTGAAAGCTGGTCTTCGATCTATTGAAACGGGAAGGATTAATCTGTTCGTTGAATTATCTTTGAAACACTTGTACAGTACAAAAACATTGGTACACGTGTTTAGAGGATTAACTCAGCATATTCCGAACAAAACATCATGGTACTCTCACGACTAAGTAAACCGATAAACAAATACACTAACATCGACACGATAAATCGAGAATCAAATCCTAAGGAATTGACGGAAACGCCGGATGTTCCGTAAGAAACCGAACTCGGCTTTGTCGACAAAGGAGCATAAAAATAAACGGCTCCGTGACATTGCGTTCTATGCAATGCCAAAAACCTTTCAGCAGTCATGCCCATCAACTCGATGACTCGCATCGTTGTTTCAAAAGTTAGTGTTAAAGGTAAAGAAATGGTAAGAAGACAAAAACGTCAGCCAAAAGTGTAAACATAACCATGTTCGAGAAGTTGAGACTTGGGACTCGACTCCGGTCTGTACAAATCTTCCTCATTCTGAATTATTATTATTAATTCTTTCATCTCATGCACACATTGCTCCAATTATGGTTTCCGCTAGCACCTAGGATCCTTATGACTGAAGCTTGAATTAAAAAGATTCAATAAAAAAAATTTGAGTCTTATGTCACTGTAAGTAAACAATTTTATTTTCTTATTTTGACTGATTTCGGAGTGTCATAATCAACCCCTTTCCAGTTGTACCATGAATTTCGGATCACGATGTATGAGTTTGGGTTTCCCAATGGTAGTATTCACCCATTAGCCGAGGGAACGTAGCTCAATGTCACTCGGCACTCTCTGTCTACCGACGATGATTCACATTGACTGGCGTAGTACGCGCGAATCAGCAAGTTATTTACTAACGAAAGAGCAGCAACTGAAAACTTACGTTGAATGTTTCGACGCGTCGTTCCGCGTAAGCCATAGTCCGCTTGTACCGCGTTAGAGCGATATTTAACGGACACCGGGGAGACGAGCCCACCTCGAGCACACAACAGCAGTTTATGCAATTTTTAGAGTTAGCCGTTTCGAAACGTTAGCTCACCGTGCAAATATTTGCTGGCAGCGCTCGTACTTTACGATGAAAGTGACAGTTCCCACAGCCACGGTATTACCAGCTGGCTACGAGATGTCACGTTCAAGATCGAACGACCGAATAGCCGGACAAGAAACACCGTGTACCATAAAGCGGCCATATCCGTAGCGTGACACGGACGCCAATAATCTAAGTCGATGCTTACACCACCATGAAATTGATCTTGCACGCGAGCTTACCGAAATATCGTATTATCAAGATTACCGGCGGCACATGGAATCGCGGTTAATCGATAGCCATCTGTGTTCCCGTTCGTCCAACGAAAATCAACCGACGATCGAATTACAGCGTCGGTGAAGTAGAATGAATAGAGGGAATGGTCAAGTAAACATTCTGAAGATGATCTCGAATAACGCACACATAGTGGTCGAAACACTCGGGAAGAGTCAGCGGACGACGACGAAAAGGGAAGAAGGAGGTAGTACACGCTGGAGGAGAACTGGTACCACTGTACTTGGATCACGCGAGCCCACTGTGTGCTCCATCGCGTTCCACGATGCTCGTGTGTCGGACGACGCTTATGAATTAATTAGATAATAACCAGCAACAATTAGAGCTGAAGGCACGAGCACATGAGAACACCATCTGCTTCTCATCGCCGCGGAAAAATTAGCGGCCAAGCCAGAAGAACGGCATACTCTGACAGATCCAATTCGCGGTAATTGACGAAACGCTGTATGCTTTAGTCTTGATCATCATGACTAACAAGGAAATGTTGTCGAACCGATATACTTCAGATTTATATACGTAAGATTGTTTTGTTTTTGCAGAGAAACCACAAAGTATTACCGAATAATATTTCATACAAATCTGAGTATTCAGTTGTGACAAGCCGAGATTTAACCGACGAACAGATAAAACCGTAACGGCGAAGCGGTAGATATTCTTTGTTTGCATTTCTCCCGCGTTACGGAGCGCAAAACAAGATCGACAATAAAATCGCGACGGGGCTATTGTTTACAACGAGTTAGCCTCTTCTGCGATGTCCCAGTTTGCTTAGGACCGGGGAGATACTAGGGAACTGCGATAAACAATGTGTGCAGAAAGGAAGAGCAACGTTCTCGCGGATTGAATGAATCACAATCCTATTTGTTCGTATATACGCTCCGATTATCATATAACCGCACCGAATTGTATTGGCAATATTATTTTCCGTATTTTCTTGGAGAAAGTCTCAGTGTATGTGCTAGTCTCGAATCGACTTTTGCCCTGTGTTATCTGGCTCCGTATATAGTCCATTTATATAATACTTGTAGAACGAAAACCTGGTGAAACTGCGGTACTGCAGCGAGTATCTATGTAGGTACAAGAGGAATTGCCGGATAAACAAGCGATATTGTAAGCGACGGAGTGATCCAACATAATCGAGTTTGAACAGCCTGAGGGAATTACGAAAAAATCCACCGTTTTTAATCGTTACGATAAGTCGTGTATTTGTTCTATCATTATCGTCAAGAACCGTCGCCAGGTTCATCGATCTTGTTAATTGAACGCCCCATTTCGTTAACGGATATCACCCGTTTGAGACTCGTGCGCCCGACTATCGAGGCCAATCGACTTGCGTCACGGGGCAACGTGTAAACGGTAGGACCCTCAAAAATAGGTAATTCAATCGTGTCCGCGGAACCTACACATAGCCTTGTTTGCGCGGTTTAACATTGGCTGACCGACTAGCTGGCGGGATAAGGGAAATACTCGACATCGATATAGAACGATAACGAATTCAACAAACACTCAAAAGATAAGGTGTTGCTCGCGAGTAATAAAGTACATCTTAATCCGGAGCTCGGTACGAATACGTTGTAAACTGGCACACGTGATACAGTGCACGACAAATGAACGCGATGTAAAGAGACCAATGACAGGATATTCTAAGAATTTTTCGATCAAAATGTGTACCTACAAATGCATATTGTATAAATGGAAATTTCAAAAGAAACGATTATCGTCCGTCCTTGTTATCGCACAGGCTGAGAATAAGCCACTGAAATTTGTTGAGTTTATCACTTAATGCACATTTTAACATTTCTGCTACTACTTTTTCAGAAAGCATCGATGGGCCAATGTGTATAGCAAAATGTACAGTCTTCTATTTTCGTAAAATATAACATCTTTGAGGAACCGAAAAGAGTTGCTCAGAAGAGCGAAGCCGCTTTCGTTATACACAATTTTGGGATACTACTGAAGATAAGTTCGATAACGAATAACAATTTAATGGTTCTATAACTATAAAATTATCCAACTTGGTGTAAAAAGGCGTATGTACCAAAAAAAGCTTTGTTACGTATCGACTCGAGAATCATTGGAACACCATAAAACAACCCCTGGAGCAACCCTTCCCTACTTTTATACTCGCAACGTCAGGTTCAGTGGCGAATTATCACTGGTCCTCGTTGGCCAGGCAACACGTATGCCACTTTCACTTGCGCGTTTCACGATTAATCCGATCGCACCGTCGGTGTATTTTCTTATTTACCTTGAGATTCCGTGGTAACCGGCCTCGCAACACCGCGAGTACGTCACGTGAAGTTTATCGAGGATGCCTCGCGGTGCCGCGCGAAGAATTTCGAGCCGAAGCGAAAATTTCGCTCACGAAGGATCTTGTGGAAAAACACGCCCACTAATCGGTCGGTGCCGCCGTTTCGCTATCGAAACGATTCTAATTCGCGCTAATTCGGAAAGATACCACGTGGTCGGTTATGCATTCCCGTTCTTTCTGTTGAAATTCAGTAACCGGATTAAAGAGCTTCGCGGAGGAGGTTAAAGACAGTGCCAGTCATTTGCTTCGACGTGGTGCACAGGGGGAGTTTTGTAAGTGTACTGTGGCGCAATTTTTATTTTACATTTTGGAGATAATAGACACGTCATAATAAACAATTTCAAAATGAAGTTAAATCTCGAATTACGTTAATCCACGACCATGTAATGTGATCATGGAGTATCTTTAAAGTGGTTATATATATATATATATGTGTGTATATGTATATCTTTGAAACAACAGGTCTTTGGATCTCACGTTTATTAGATCGTTTTCTCAGGACTGGAAATATAGAAGACTGCACGGACACGATCGAAATTCGATATGGACGTGTGACACATGCAATCTCAACGACGGTGTGAAACATTTCGCACGCGTAGCGACGGGAGAACCAATGAAAAAATCTTGACACGGCGTGAACAGCGGATTGTGAAGGAAAAATTTACATACCTTATTCTTAGGCGACATGGCGCGCGGGGATAGCAACGTTTTGACAGGAACGTCCTATCCGAACGAAGATGCGACGAATACACCCCTCGTGATGAGCGAGTGAGGGAGGAAGAGAGAGAGAGAGAGATGGCCAGGCTTCGCGCCACCTGAGTGGACAGCGTCCAGCCGCGGTACAAAAGACGAGCGATATGAAAATGCGCGCCGCTGTGTGAACCCACCGGCTTGGACTTATCGCGGGACCGTCGGAGTCCATCCGATTCCCCTACTCTATGGAATCGCCATCTCACTCCATTTCCCTTACCGAGTCTTCCTCCCGTGTCCTATCGTCTCTCGTTTTTGCTTTATAGTCTCCCTCTTTGTTCTCCGATTACCCTCTCTATACACCAGGCCGTTTTTTTTCTCTTTTCCTCACGCCGGAGAGACCGGCCAGTCGTCTTCCTTCCGCTACAGATTTCCACGCAGGGCATTAGTCACGATATTGTCGCACGGACGGGAGAAGGGGGGACACACAGAAGCGCACGAAACAAAGCGATCTATCGCGATAGGTACAAAGTTCTAGCCCACGAGCCGTACCGATATTACATTCCGCGCGACGGGTAGTATGTACAAGATATCGCGCTCGGATGAAGATCTTCCTGGCACTGTGAGCTCGACGATAACCACCCGGCGTATGCTACTGTACCGCCAAAGTGTTTGCGATGCTGCACACGCTGGCAGTCCGCGGATACCCGACGATACTCCTCCAGAGTAGGAGGAAAATCGGTGGGGAGTAAGCGCGCACGTGGAAAACTTTGAAAATGAACGCTTTTCCTAATTCCGTTTGGAACCCGATACAATCGACTGGGAGGCAGGAGGGGGAGTGAGAGAGAGGGACAGAGGGAGTTATTTTCTAATTTATACGTTCGGGAGTGTTTCTTCGTCATGGAGTTCGGGCGCAGATGTGCGAATACGTCTCTGTTTTATGACGAAAATAGAGCGCCAAATCGTGTCCGTTTGGTTCTCGCAGTTTTGCGCTCGCGAAAACGTCGACCTGAACCCGGTCGAGGTTTTTCTACGATGAACACTGATCTAGGCCCGTCGTCGTCGAATTTATAAGCAGGGAAAATCGAGGGCGGTCAATAGCGACGGACAAATCGGTACCATGAGAACTAGAAACTAGGCAATGAAACGCTTGTTCAGTTGGACAAATAAGGGGAGTATAACTACAGATAGACGAAATTTGTTACAATCTCGAATAGCGAATGACAAAAAAGACTGACGTATAAGTGTTTCATTGCAATGGTCATTTGACTATTAATATCAGAGAAGTAGAATAAACAGAGAAATAGACTCTTTAAAGGTCAGAGGAATATCCACCAATGGTAACCCAAGACATCGAACATGGAAGGCAACCATCAATTTTAATTTTCCGTTTACGTTTAAATGCTAATTCGTCGTCCCTGATAAGCAGCCACGATAACAGGCACTCGAACATATTAAATGTACTATGTATAGAAAACAACTTACAACATTGTTGGTCGTTGATTTCGTATTGATCTGCAAGCCATCGTCATCGCCGATCTGCTCCCCGATCTGTTCGCGGCTGTTGGCGGGGCCCATTTCGGCGCCACGGCGCCTATTCGATCCTCGGTTGTCACTGTTTCAAACCGATCAAGACCACCCACAAGATCCCGGTTGCCCGCCGTCCCTAGGGACGAGGAACGACGCGCGGATCACGAGCCGGATGATACCACCTTTCGGGCGGTCCGGTGCGGCCCCCCCCCCTCCCGATCTATAAGTCCTCCATCGGCGTTGTAATAAAGTCCTGGAAGTTGTAGCTGCTGCTCGACAACAGCTCCTTCCGGGCGTTCGCACGTCCTCTCAGTCCATCGGTGTAACCAGCACCACACGTAGATCGGCGGAAACGATCCTTCACCGATTCAAGGATATCTCTTCACCGCGGCCCGACTCTGATCATACGTCACCGGTCGTGTTCTTTTTTCCCTGTTCTCGTTTATTCTCGATCTACCCAGTGAAAAACTGTAACACCGACCACCAAAATCCCGATCGTTCGAACCGACGATAACTACACGACCACGACGAAGACGTCGTTTTTGCACCCCGCACGGGCCAAGTCCCACGGAATTCTATCCACGTTTCGAACCCTTTTCCCCGCCGATCCAATCGAGAATCCTCTGGCGATGTGTCGTTGTCCACAGAGGAAAGTTTCTTTACTCTTTTTCACGATTCAGCCAGCTAGGTAGACGATGAAAATCCTGTCGATGAGAATTTTCTCGCAGACGATCCCGCCGCGGGTGGGTAGCGCCGCGGCGCCCCGGGATCAATAAAACGACCGCCCGGCCGTCGCCTTTCCTAGGTCCTGCCTGCCTGCCTGCCGTGATCTCCCGTTTGCGCGACGCCGGACGTCGCGACGGCGTACCCTCCTCCCTCCACCGCCCACCCTTGTCCTCCCCGTTCGTCGCGTTTGCTAAAACGTCAAGGCATGGCCCATGGAGCAGGCGCGATCACCCATCGCGCACGCCCCCACGCGGTCACTCCCCACGAGTCTGCGCAGGTCGATTATCGACGCGATTGCTCCGTGTCGGTCGGTATTACCATGCGTCTATACCTATCTCTAGTCTTCGTCCTCCTCTTTCTTCTTTCCTCTCTTGGGTCATTTACAATTCCGTTTGTCCGTTTACGCGAGATAATGAAACGGGATAGCGCGGGACCCTACTCGTTGTTGCTTTTCAGAAACATTTAGTTCTAGAAAATTTGATAGGTGCACGATACTTTGGTCATAACCCATTTCACCGGAGTACATAACGAGAAACACGATTTGTACGATTGTGAATTTTTTCACGGGACTCATCTTAAATCGTAGACGTTGACGTTTAGAAGCTCATTGCATCAATTCTTCACGTTGGGTGCAACGAATTGAAAAAGATTTGTAGTTTTTTTCTGTAAAATCGATATACCTTCCTTAAGGCACTACTTTGTTGATAAACATGATTTTGTTAGGATCGATGACCTTATATGACTTGTGTAATTTATTTAAGAACAAAACAGCTGCATTTTGATGCAGGTTTCGATCCCGAACATGTCGATTCAACTATATTGAATGTCGCGGGACTTTGCCACATTTCAATTGCTCTGTATCTGTAATTTGTTGTGCTGTTAATTGCTGGGTTTGTCGGAACGAGAGATCGGTATCAGTCGGAGGCAGCAAAATGCACACACGTGCAGTTGCATACGTTGTTGGGGTTGCGACTCGGAAACGAGTTACCGCAGTGTTCGTTGTTGTGGCGTTGCCGCAGCCTTCGAATTCGAAGGTCGCGAATACACAATGAAATTTAGAGTAACGTGTCAAGCGTTTCTAATGCACTTTTCTATCGATGCATTCTGTATACCAATCAGGTGTTTGTAATACAATTACGATGCATCGGGTGTCGTCTAAAAAAAAATAAAAAATAAAAATTAATGTTCAATATGAAATAAGACGTTTCCTTTTACGGCATCAATTTAACATACTCCATGTACACAGTAGTGTACGAACAATTATTTAATTCCACAGAAAATATTTATGCACACGATTACGCCCCGCTACACAACTTTTCCCGTGTAATCGATTCGGTGCTACGCCATACGCTATTCCACACGATTGCTTTTGTTTTATAGCTGCATGAAACAGATCGATATTCGACAGTTCTTGGACCAGTCACGAACATGTTCCAAGGAAATGTCGGACAGCCCCCTCCCGCTCCACCGCCAAAATCCATTGCACCGCGAAGTCTCTTATCATCTACATTCTGGTAATATCCAAGAACACCTGACTAATATTTCTCGGTATGTCGATTTTTCGCTTGTCAGTCAAGGATTAAGGCCCAACCCCGATCAGTTTCCAAGATAGATCCCACTACTGAAAATTTTTCCACGATAAGGACGCTTTTTAAAGGCCAAGACCTTGGCCATCAAGTTAGTCTTTTCCGAGGACGACATGTAATACCGTACATTTAGCACTCCGAATATTCAGTTTATAACTTGTGAAATAGTAAAAATAAGTGTAATTATTAGAAAACAATAAAAGTTCGTTCTTTTTTTCACCTTCGAGTCCGCGGATACCGTATAAGACATCGTGATGTTTGACGCCGAAACGACTGCGACGTGGTGTAACGTGTTGCTTCGAATTAAAACATAAGATAAAATTCTACGTATATAAATATTATTATCGCTATTCCGTTTGAACGTAATTAATTGATTACATACGGGGCAGACTGCATTTTTACTGACAAATGTTGACGTATGTGACAGGACAGTCCGATCGGCGGAACGTGTTTAAGTCGATCTCACGAATTTCTGCGAGTCTCTTAAATGTTTCATAACTTCTTTTGCGAAGGTGCTAATCTCGTTCTTGTTCAATACGGCGATACCTTCTATCTGGGCAATTGGCAAAGTTGTGATCAGATCCTCTATATATTTTGGATTGGTGAGATCGTAGGTGATGGAATGTAATACACGCAGGCAAAGCAGCTGAACTTCATCCGGTAACGAATTGTTTCGCAAATAATAGTTCAGCACGTCCCCGACACGGGACTCGAAGAGATGATGCAAACCGGTTTTATTCATACTGACGTTGTATAATAGCATGAGCATCAATCTGTAAAAGACATACTGTGATTAGAACTGAAAGATCTATAACAACTACTGGAATCCGAGCAAATAAATTCGGCCGCTGAAGGTTATTACGCCCACCATATGAGTAAGTAGTAGGTTACGTACTTCGTTGTTCCACCCCTACTGCTTACCTCCCTTTATCCCTACAAAAGATATTTCCTCATATGTTGCCACTCATTTTAAATTCTACTCACTGTTCAGTTTTGAGTGACAGACTAAAAGATTTTTCTCAGTCAAGGTTATTAAGCGAAACGTTCCTACTATAAACATTCTTTTATTCTGTTAAACCATCGTCCCACTATTAATCCCCGAGTTTCGTCCATCGTTGAGTTTATGATACCGGAAATGTTAATCTATAGGCCTGTAATCTTTTTTCCCCATCTTTTAGACAGAGAGCCAGGCAAAGTACTTTAATATCTATAAATTTTTGGGTCTTACTTAAAAAAAAAGTTACCTTTTTAATGAAAGTGAACCCTGCGAAAGAGGCAGACTAGGCATGAGGTTCATCATCTTTTGTATGAAATCTCTGCCGTTCGGGTTACTGATTAAAAACTCACGCCCCTCGGGACTTGCAGATATGTTCGTCACGATGCCCAATAATGCGATTATGAACTGATATTCGACATTACTAGTCGGGGGAAACGCGTTTCGATAAGTTTTTACAAACGCGACGAAACTTCCGTCCGTTATCGATAAAAATTCACCGATCTTATGCTGAAACTGTAGAGGAGATCTTCATCGAATTACAATATTTTCGAAATCTGTTAACCAAGAAAAAGAGAGAAATTTACCGCGGAGAGCCAGACATCGACGATTTCTGGAAATCTAGAGGCCCGCCAAGTTAGATTGCCCAAAACTGCCCCCAAACTCGTACAGTACGTGCTCTGATTCAATATCTACGAAAAGATGAGACATTTTATAGAACTTTACTGAAAAAGAAATCGTTTATTCTTTAAATGTTTGCCAAATAACTTGTTCTCTCAAATTCTCTATTTCCTCTTGTGCTTTTTTATTTGCGTCCATCTGTTGCTGCAATTGAGCACGCAATCGTTCGCATTCGAGTTCCAGGTCAGTAATTTTATCCTTCTCGTCTATGTGGGGTGAAATTTTTTTTCATTTTTTATCATAATTAATTAACATTTTTCATGAAAATTGTGATAAAACGATTGTTTACCATCTTTATTTATGTGATCAACAAATGATTTCGGTAACGAACGCATCAAATGGTTTAAGTTTGGACCATCTTGGACAGATAATTTTTCTAAATCAAAATCTAGTCCAGAATCAGCGAACGCCTGAGGGACATCTTTTATGAAGTTATGAATACTTTCCTTCACGGTGGTCAATGTATCTTCTACGGAAATCTGAAAACATGTTCCAACGCATTATTTGCATTACGCGGAAATGCACTTCCTTCAGCGTTGCTTCCGGTTGCCCATTTCTATCACATAAACCGCAGTATATAGTATATTGTTGGTGATCTGAACGTTAAAGAGAAATTTTACAGACACGTATGAACTAGAAATGTCACGTACGTACCAAAAATTGTTCCTCATCTTTTAAATTTGTTTGGTCTGCGTACGCATCCGTGTCCATCTTTACTCGATTGAATTTTGCGTCGGTATAAATAATTGCTCTTTAGTGTTGGTAGCTGATTACTGGTATTGAGAATAGACTTAGTGGATCGACAGTCTTTTATATAATTCATGTTGTGTCGTCTCTAGATGATCCAATGTAAATCTCCATAATAAATTGAAATACAATTTCAAATTTGTAAATTCTTGTATGAATACGGCGCTATTACAATATTTTAGGATGATACTTATAATATATAGAAACGCTTCTTTGATGATAACTTGTCGCTTAGTTGGAAATGCATACGTGCAACTCTTTTCCGTTCATGTCGTCTATGCTCAAAGAAAAAGTAAACCAAACATTTATTCAGCAATTACACTTGACACGAAATACAGTTAAAGGTTTTTCTACATTGAAATTAATTAATAAAAAATAAGTGTATAGTCTAAAAATCCGACCTAACAAAGATACAGTTTTGGCGGCAAAACGTATCAGAGTGATTTTCTTCCTTATATGCAGTTGTATATTACAATTATAATGTAATACTCTGTATATTATATGATTTTCAAAACTATAAATAGCAAGAAACGTTACGAATAATTTTTAAACGATACTTGGTATTCATTTATTGCAATGCATTGTAATTATCGTGCGTAAGAACCAGTAAGAACGTTTCTTTGTGAATGCATCCTAATGCACGCGACGCTTACAATTACCTAGCGTGGGCTGCATTTTATGCGTTTCCGAACACCGCAGCGTGTACTCGTCTTCGTATTATGATGCGAAAAATAGAGTTAATTATAACCTTACGATTAGAAGCTCTTTTATTTTTAAACTAGCCGGAATTACATTACAAGATATTACTGTCAACTGGATGCAATTACGTGTAAGTTACATAAATGTGTTGATTAATGGTTCCATATGTTAGAATTTAATTCATGAATTCTCTTCCACGTAACGGGTATCGAGAATCTATTCTCGGAATAATATTCGATTTTTTTTCTTAATTCGAACTGAAGAACTCTACTATGTAATAAATTTTTTCATAAACAGAGTACAAATTCTTTGTGCAACAAAAAGTTCTTAATATACTCGGTGGATCTGTCTGTAACGTTATGTAACGTTTTACTAAAGGTCATGCACCGCTTTTAGGTACAAAAATGAAGTTTTCTGAAGGTGATACTGTACTTGCCAAATACCCATCTACAGATGAGTATCAGAAAGGTAAAATATTAAGTGTCAGAGGTAATTGGTGTAAAGTGCAATTTGAAGCTGGTGTTGAATATATTGTTCATTCAACAGACATTAAGGTATCTTTTATAACACCACAATTCTAAATACATAATCCAAGAGATTGACCAACAATTTATTTAAAATTTTAGGTAAGCAGACCATCACGAAGTACAGTAAGATCAAATAGTAGAGGAAGGAAAAGTCCTGCTCGAAGTTCACCAAGCAGGAGGTCTCCAAATAAACGTTCACCAGGAAGATCTCCATCTGCGAAAAGAAGCTCAAGGGGCAGAGATGCAAGAATTACTCTGCCAAGAATAGATATATCTTCTGGTAAGTATGTTTGATTTGGATATGGTCTTAGTATTATGAATTAAATCATTAAATAATGTGCTTCTGTTTGTATAGACATATTTAGCGATAACAATGTCATTAGCACAAAAAGTACAAATGATGAGAATTTTATTGAGTCAATGCCTCTCCAATCCCGATTGAAAGAACTGGGAACAGTTACACGTAGATCAACAAGATTACTCTCTGGTATGCTAAAACCTGAATCAGACTATAAAATGGAAATGTTGACCAGAAGTATTAACAGAGCTGTCTCACTTCCATTAGAAAGGAAGAGTCAGTTGCATGATCTTAACATTGATGGGAAGGAGAGAGGTTTATCAGTACAAAGAGATCAAGTAAGTTTTTTTGTATGTATTAATTGTTTATTATAAATTACGTTATAATAACTGGTATTTTGTTCTAGGATCTACTAAAACCAATAAATTATGAGAAAGAAGTAGAACCAGATTCACGAGTAACAGAAAAACGTAAGATAGAAATAAACATTGTTAGCGAACCACAAGAATGGGGAGGATGGTTTGGTGCTTCGATTCTTATATTATTGACACCTGTGCTTGTAATATTGCCACAATTGATGTGTACGCAACAACAGTGCAAATTTGGGTATTCTAAGATACCAAAGGACATAAATTCTTATGTAAACTTAACAACTTTTACAACATACCTCGGATTCTTTTTGTTTATAACTATGATTTCAATTGCTCCAATTGGAAAGAAGGTTGATGGGCCTCAGAGTAGAATTGGAAGACTGCAATACCGTGTAAATGGTAATTGATACTATTATTTTCTGATAATGAAATATCCCGAATACAACTAATAGCTCTTATTTCTCGTTTTCCAGGATTTTTGTGCGCTATTTTATCATTAATTGTATTTATCGTGTGTGTATATAATGAATTCAATATCACAGATCTAATTATAGAGAATTTTGTACAATTTTCAATCAGCGGTTGGCTTCTCGGAGTAATTTTATCGGTATTGTTGTTCATCAAAGGAAGCAAAGCTCCCGTAGCGAATCTCAATATGCATGGTTCTACCAACAGTCGGATCTATAACTTTTGGCAAGGAAAAGAGACAAATCCGCGAATCGGTGCATTAGATGTTAAAATTAACATTTTTCGTTCAGCTATGATAGCTATGGTAGTATTTTTTGAACAGTCTAATTGACCCCCTTATAGTACGTATCTCGCACGTATTTTGAATTTCAGATGCTTATAAACTTGACCATTGTAATTAAAGCAATCGAAGAAGCAGAAAGTTACAGTGTAGAGCACATCAACATAAGTGTTCTACTGACCGCTTCATTACAGATAATCTACGCAGTTGATGCATTATTCTTTGAGCCTACAGTATTCACGTCTTTTGAAGTAATGTATGAGGGTACTGGATACATGTTGTGTACTGGTTACATGATATATCCATTTTTACCAACTCTTACAACAAAATATGTACTGTATAATAAGTAAGTAATAAGTGAACACATTATCAAATAAATATGGAGAAAGCACAATTCTACTAATATTTTCTTTCCAGAGTAAAGTTTAGCTACTTGTTCGTCTTTCCTGTACTATTCTTTTTTGTTGGCTACTTGTTGTACAGGGTTAGTAATTCGCAGAAAAATGAATTCAGGAAAAACCCTCTGTCTCCGGCATTGGCGCGTAAGTATAGTAGTTACTGCTGACAACTGTAATCAGATTTGAACACATAGATATGATAAAAAGTTCAGACCCATGTAAATCGATATCTCACAAGATATTCGAACATTTCCAAGTCTTTGAAGTACACCCAGAGCTCGCTGACTTTTCTGAATTGGAACACTGTCGGTCTTACTTTAAATGTTTATGTTATTTTACAGATTTAGAAACTATTCCAACTATACGTGGCAAGAAACTAATAGTGTCTGGATTATGGGGTCATGTGAGGCACCCAAATTACTTGGGTGATATAATAATGTGGTGGTCGATATCATGTATAAGTTTGTCATTTGATATTCTACCTTACTATTATGCAATCATGTGCACAGGATTACTGTTACACAGAGCAATAAGGGATAATGAACGTTGCAGACTCCGCTACGGATTAGCTTGGGAACAGTATATGTCACGTGTAAAGTATATGATTTTATATCGTATATTTTAGAGCAACATTATTACCTATACAATAAGGTATTTTTAAATACCAAAATTTATTACGATGTTGTACTTTTAAAACTCTACAATGCTCATTATTTTATAGAATGACATTTTAATTGTATCTAGCAAATGGTAATATTTTAAATGCGACGGTTTAATACACAAGAGTTGAATGATCAAATCATAGGGTCCAAATCAAAGACTCAGAAACCAAAAAAACCGATCATAACACTTGATGTTTAAGTTAAAGTGTACAAATGATCTTTTAAAATCTCTAAAATAAGAACAAAAAGTGCTATTTTAAAGAAATAAGAATTATCTATATATTCGATTGTAGTTAAAAATGTAGAGGAAGCTACTTGTTGACACAATTATATGTAGCATAGAATATATTTCTATGATAAAGACATTAAGTAAGAACTTTTATACTTTTATAGAAATATGTATAATTGAAATTTGATAAATAAATAATGTTTCTAGCAATTGGATAGTTATGAAGTCACATAATTCTATTTAATATAAGTATGTAATATATGATATGATTTAATAAATAAAAAATCTGTACTCTGGAAAATGCATACATGTTTTTTTCATTACCTTTTCTGCTAACCATTGAACAAGCAACATTCGAAAAGTAACATGATTCATTTCGTCATTCGTGTTATTGCCGCGTAACGCAATGGCATGACATTGCAGTAAAACTTGATAGTGCTTGGTAGCTTGAAATCATTCGTAACAAGTTTTGATTTTGTTAATAAAAATGGTGAGTTTTTTTGGTGAAGTAGTTTTTCCAGTCTCTCGGGCGTTTTGGGATGAAGAAGATGAAAATGAATCGGATGGACGTACAATAAATGAAACGTAATTTATGTTTATTAAAAGTAACCTCATTCCCGCAAATGTATTTATATATATATTACAATTATTTTTTACATATATTTTAGCGAATTTTCCGTTCAATGGTTGAAAGAAAAGTCAACTCAAATCGACACGTTAATTCTGGTTGAAGGGGAAATGTTGATTGGTAATATATATGTATATTTAAGTTTGCCGGTAGCAATGTTTACGACCGTAACATAAATATTTACAATGAAGTTATAGATTTTTCTAGGGAATGTTTGTGCCAAAGTTCGGAGGAAGTATGTCTCGTGGAAGATGAGAGTAAACGAAAAATATGCATAGTTTATCAAGTTAACAATGACATATATTTATGTGTTGTGTCTCCAAGGTTTGATGTAAAGTTATCTGGTAAGCTTGTGGATAAGGTAAGTACAATTAACAAGAACAGTTAGGTGAAAAATATTCTGTTAAATTAATTTTATTAAATTTGGTAGATATCTGATATTCTATTAAATGTCAAAAATACAATTTGTATAACATCCCGGCATATGTCACAATTTAAATGTAAAGATGTACCAACAGTACCATCTTTCTTGAGAATGTTGACCACAAAGAATGGAGGAAGTATTTGCAGCTTAAAAGAGCCCCCTTTAGAACAACCAAACATTGTATATGGGGTTACAGCAGGAGGTTAGTATTTGAATGACGTAAAACATGTTTCATAGAATTTTAGAAATAACATTGTATTTTATTTATTTAGTTCTCTCATATGCAGAATTTATGGAACTACCATCAGTTTTATATGTCTTGTACACAGATAATTTTGTACTAGATTCAGTATCCGCTGAGCCCCTTTTAAAATTATTTACAGCCATGAATTGTACAGTTAACAATGTTACATTTACTGGAAAAAACTTTTTCAATAAAGGGAATCTATATATGTATGCTTGGACCAGTTATTTGCCTCAGCAGTTTCCTGTTTACTTATCTAAAGATCTAAGTATATAGCTGTTAATGATACAAATGTTTTATAATTGTATACTATTGTCCATAGTAAAACTTATATAAACCTTCCACAATACTTATCTTTAATTATGATAAAACTTACATCGACAAAAATTATAGTTTTGGTGCGATGAACTTCCATATGTTAAGGTTGCGGTGGATAATATGTTCTTGGTGCAGGTGCTGGGGGTACTGGATTGCTTGGAGGAAAGTATGATGCGTTTGTTGGATAAGGATATGGTTGGAACGGTGGTTGCGTTGTAGTAGGAGCTGGTGGTGTGGGTCTAATGGGACCCGATGAACCAATATGGTGCATGGGAGGCACAATATGATTCATTGTATTAACAGGGGGTGGAGGTACAGAGACATTTGCTGGGGGAAACGCTGGTGGGTAGCTTGTATTATTTGGCGCAAAAGTAGTTGGATACGTTGGGAAGTGCGGTGGCACGTCCATTGGTTTCATTGTTTCTGTACTATCTGTAGTTGGGCATCCATTTGCGGAAACAGGAGTTACTTCAACTTTAGCAGATTTTCCTGGTGTAACTGCGACATAACGTAAATATGTTAACAGATAAACAGTTCTTATACTCATAATGGTAATAAAGAATTGAATTTCATGTTCTCTACCATTTGGTGTAGTAGATGCTGATTCAGTAGGAGGTGGTGGTATAGCTCTGTCTCTACATGGTTCATTTGATGGTGTCATTGGTGGTGAATCTGGAGGCTTTGTATTATTAGCTTGTGAATATAAATCTAATACTTGGTGACATATATCTAACAACAAAAAAAGTTATATATATGTATATATATATATATAATATCAGGTTCAACAGACATATATGAGTAGACACATTAGAAATTTATGCACCTTCTAACAGATCCATAGTAACATCTTCAACAAACATATCCCACCAACGCAAATGTTTTGGCTGTCTTCCATTCCAGTCTACTACTTCAAACTTGCTAAGCTTTCCTGCTAAATACATGAGGGCAACAGCTATGATTTCTGGCTCCCATTGCAGAGATAATGTTGTACATAAACTGCAAAAGAGGGAGAAACTTAAATCCATTGTTTCAATTAACTTTTAAACAATATGTGTTATATTTTTACCTATCGTTAACAAATGTCCAAGCCATTTGAACCATTTTTTGTAGTTTATTCTTGTCACCTGCGATACAATATTCAAATTCTGAAAATACTACTGTAAGTGTAGAATTGTACAATATTTGTAAAAAACTTACATTAATTACCTTTAAGGCATTTGGCATATTTTAATAAGTAACTATATGGATGTTCCACTTGTAAATCAAATTTAATAGTTTGTAATAAAATTCTTTCTAGTGTCATGACTTCTTCCTGTTAATTAAGAGTACGCATTGGCAGTTAAGTTAATGATATAATTCATAAGATAACTAGAATCCAAAGATATTGACCTTGGGATCTTCTCCAAATGTCATGAATTTTTGTTCAGTTAACAAAGTTTTTGCAGTCTTAATGATGTCTTTACATTTTTTTGGTGTTTCTTCTACTTTACCTGCCAGAAATAAACAACAGCAGGCAGTCACCTACATAACATTCAAAGACAGGTATGGAATATTGCTATGGGTAATAATTAAAAAAGCAAAAGGTACTCACATATCTTGGAAAATTTTTAAATGAGTGGAACATATAGAATCTATGAAAGTAGACAACACCAGTTGCCATAGTATTATAACCCAAATCCATTTTTGTCCCTGTGTCAATGATAAAGCGTGCACCTTCTTTTCTATATCTACACTCAGTCTCATAATCGATTCCATCTTGAATGGAAGGAGTGTTCCTTAGTTCCTTCTTCTCATAATACCAGCATGGCATTTTTATTTCTTTAAAAACAATAATTAACATAATAGATGTACCCACATTTATGCAAACACATGATCGATTCTATTATAAAATAAAACTTCTTCTATCAAATGGAAATTTTAAAAGACATTAAAGGCATAATGAATAAGACGAGCCATTGTAAATTATCGCAAAGAAAATAATTTAATGACAGTAGTCTTCACTGTGAGTCACTTAAGGTTAAGAGAATTATAAACACGAAGGATTCACTTTTCTTTCACTTACTTAAATTATGTTTTGCAAAAGTACCACAGAAGTTTTTTTGATTAAAAAATAATTCTGCAATGTATGGACCAACAGTTTCGAAAGATTTATTACGATTAACGCAAATTGATCACTATAGTACTATTTATTTAGGTTTCACTAGAAGCTCGGATTGTCCTATATGTTACCAATTCGTTGCTATCGCCTTCATCATTTTTCGTCTTTTATGGCTTGTCAAAAGTGAGAATAAGGTAAAAAAGACCTATTCGTACGATACAAGTTCCCTTTAGACATCAATTTGTTTTCAATTAATATTTAATTCTTCTAGATAAAGCATAGACGAAGTATAGGAGTAGACATTTCATCTAATGTATTTTTTCGACCCACTTTTTTGGGGCGACGTCGCCTCATTTCCATTTTAGTGTCACTACCCACCGCAGATTCACCGTTCTCATAACGTAGAGGTCGCTAAAATCACAGGCTTTTTAAGGTATCGGTATTACAGTTTAGGTGGGCCTCCAACTCATCGCAGAATAGTTGGCGTCGAATGTTAACGTTTCTTAACAATTTATATCTCAAAAAATTGTTCCCAATTTGCTTCTTCCGAATCTGAAATTGCTCCCACAGCACCGTTTATAGTTAATGAGATATTCGCAAAAGAAAAAGCAAAAATGTATTGTTTACAAAATAGGTAGTAAATGGCTTTTTTACACAAATATTATGGCACGAAAAAATTGCTCCTGATTTGTTTTATAATAATCAATAGTCAGATATCTCAATAACAACTTGTTAACGAGGAGCAAACGAAATATTGTTGTCGCATAAAGGTTAGATATTACCGGTGGTATTACGTCACATGGTTGGCGCTCGTTTATTGTAGCCTTCGGGGTTATAGAGGGCCAGAATTCCAGGAATATTGCCATATCTCATTAAATATTAGAGATGGCGTGAACTGCTACTTGTGAAATACGAGTGATCGATCACGTTCGTTTCCAATTACGGTGATTTTTCACAGTGATTCGTGATTTCTCGTGATCGTTTCTGATTGGTGGAGAAACCTAACAGTTCTTTCTGAAATTGTCACATACTTTTAAATAGATGAAACTGTGCGTTCAATGTAGTAAGAGACCCCGTGTGTGTGAAAAAGTGGGGTCATAGCACCACAGGAGCATGCACAAGAGACCCCGTGTGAGGTGTGTGAGGAAGTGGGGTCATAGAACCCCCGGAGGTGGCGCCTGATCTAAATACTAAGACGGTTGTTGTTGTTTAATAATTTATGATAAAATACAAGTTATTCATTTATAAAGCTTCATTATAAGATCCACTAAATAATTTTCTATAACATTCAAAGTTCTAGACATTTTTAGAACACTGAATCTCATATCGATTTCTAAAATAATCCTAGTTCGATGTAATATAGAACGTTATTTTATGAGATAGATTCGAAGTTCGCAGCCATTAGCTCGATATTGTCTTCAGTTTACAGTACTTTACCGATGACAATACCGATTGCCCAGGCCTCACCACGAGGAGGTTGCTGCGAGTGGAGGCCCAAGGCAAGTAGATGGAATCACAAGTTCTACATCTACCCACCTTTCACAATAAACCTTATAAATTACTTAAATCTTAACTATATAATACTACCGATACTAAAATCCCTCGGCGGATGACTTCTTTCTTGAGCCTAAACCTATAAAAAACTAAGTTCCCTCGTCGGTTGTCTTCGTTCTTCAGCTTGGAACTAATATTATCTTAATATTCTAATTAATACGAATTAATGCTAGTAATACGAAATAACAAATTTAACGCAATGTAGTCGCTAATACTCAAACGAAAGAGATAGACGGAATGGAAAAAGTTCCATCGATCATTTCGTTTACGCACCTAATATACCAAGCCAAAAATTAATTCTACGATGAACCACGTTAAACTACAGTATGAACAAGTATCGCGATGAAAGTGTTGTCGCCAGAACCTGGTTTAAGAAAATAGGAAAGACGGGCGCAACCTCGCAAACCCGAATCCATCTCTCACTTTCCAGGCCCTTTGGGCTGGTCACCTACGTACCAGACCCGAGCACAGGTCATGACCAAGTATGGTAGTGCAAGCGAGATCCCCTGTAAAACAGAGTCCTTTTACGGAGCAGACTCCCGTCTACTCCGTAGGCGGGTACGTTGTACCCAGGCGCGCACGAGCCTTTACTCCAAATCCTACTTACCAGGCAAAGACTAAACACGTCCGATATCTGGCTTCTCAATAGAAACCAGAGGGATCGGCAAACAGTCTTAGTGCACAGGCCCACTGCCCGTACCATAATAGGTACAGACCCACTGCCCATACCCCAAGTCTGTGTAGAGAAATCAACGAGCAAAATGAATTAATAATAACTTGGTATGCACAATGGCTGATCACAATTTAAGTCTATTAATAGATAGACTAAAATTAATAATAAACGATGTGATGATGAATATGAATATAACAATGAATATCGAATTATGATTTAAGTTTAACTTACAGTAACTTAACGCAGTGGTAGACGCACGCTTTGAAGATGTAGACGTTGATCGATGTCTTCTTTCGATGGAATAACTGTTTGGAAAAATATTTTTCATTATACAATACACATAGAATACATAATATGCACAGTAAATAAATCACAGTAAATAAGAAAATAAATATCGAAGCCAATGGTTCTCGAACATCTGTAACATACAAGGAATTAGTAACAAGAGAGGGGACACAACAATATGCACAGTATATAGATTAGTAACATGCACAGTAAATAAATAAATAATATGCACAGTAAATAAATCACATTAAATGAATCACAGTACATAAGAAGATAAATATCGAAGCCAATGGTTCTCGAACATCTGTAACATATAAGGGATTAGTAACAAGAGAGGGGACACAACAATATGCACAGTAAATAAATTGATGGTTGTCGAATGCCTGCAACAAACAATGGGTTAGTAACAAGAGAAAGGACGAGTATGAGACGCGCGACCACCCTCCGCGACGGTTCACGACAAAGTGAGGAAGCAAGCACAGACCTGCACGGGATGGTACGACCTTGGTACACGGCGTACACGGCTAAGTCAATAAACTGGGTGACGCAACTCACTAGCGCGTTGGATCGACGGAGAGCACCGATACTCGGCACGCTCTACCGTACTCTCTCGCTCGCACACCTCCCTCCCATAGACCCCTGAAATTTCTCAGCACGCATCACACCGACGGAGAGCACCGATGCCGCAGCTCGCTCTACCGCTCTCGCTCGCACGCCGTGACGTCACCCGATTCCCGGAATCCCGCGGCCACGAGATGGCTCGCTCATTACGGTAAGGCATTCCCACAACGGCCAAAAGGTAGATTTGATAAACTATTTATGAAACTACATCTATTCTGAATTTATCTGTTACAAATACACAAATGTAAGGCAAGATATAAAAACGAATGAAATCCATTAACGATGCATTTAGAATAAATTGTCTTGTAGTTAAGTGAAAAAATATATACTTTTCCGTTTCATGTTTCATGACTGTCATATTTATCCCTTAACCTTAAACTGAAGCATCGGATATTTTTATTCTCGTCAAATCATGTAGACACACGCAACATGAATGAAGTATATAACATTTCATTTGTGCTAATAATACTCCGAATTCATGCTTTATCGGTAACGTCGGGTATTGACACTAAATAAAATGGTAACAGGGTTACAAGCCCTATGAACGTCTAACAGAAAAAAGCATTGGATGATAGGTATATTCTATACCTAGTCGGTGGTTATATCATATACAGTGAAGGAATAATTAGAAACAATGAACAATAATGAATAAATTAATGATTATAAATTATAATCTACATGGTACCTAGCAAATCATTCTTTTAGAATTTATTGTTTTTTCTACCGATTTTTACAAACACGAATAGTAATGTAATTCATCGTAAAATCATATTGAATACGTTTTTGTGTTTAGTGTTAGCGATCAAGGACTTACGATCGCAGTGAGCAAATTCACTCAAGATAAAAAAATCGCAATCACGGTCGTGAATGAAGTTAAATCACGACCGTGATTGTGATTCTGCGATCACTGTGATAAATCACCGTTAGTGATTTTGCACGCCATCTCTATTAAATATAAACGGTGCTGTGGGAGTAATTTCAGATTCGGAAGGAGCAAATTGGGAGCAATTGTTTGAGATATAAATCGTTAAGATACGTTAATATTCGGCGCCAACTATTCTGTGGTCTATTAGCAACTGTGTTTTGTCGCGATATGGCGCCATCATCCACCTTTTCATGGTAACTTTCTATTTTAGATGGCGCAGTTCACGCCATCTCTAATCTAATACATATGTAATTAGAAGTTTAATGTGTCCTGAAGTTTGGCACTTATTGCTTTCAATTCGTTTTTATTAGATCTGAATAAAACAGAGCATATGAAAGTACTGTGTGTATAAAATTTTGAAAGAAAAGTACAAAGAAGTTATAATTTTTATTATTGCAAGTCTTCTTAAAGATTAATCGTAACTGTAATCATTGTAAACACGCGAAGTATGTGACGGATTTGTTTATGGTTAACCTTTAAATACTGTCAGTTTGTTGATTAATCATAAATCTTATTTTCGTGAGAATTATGAATAAGAATAAAAAGTTAGTGGCGAAATATGATATACGGCAGGGGAATAAGAAGATTGAGAACACTGAAGAAGGTGAGAAACGTGATTGTATTATGTAGCAGTCTAGTAAAATTGTAGTCGAATTAGACACAGTTTGTTTAATTATTTAATCATTACAAACTACCTGTTTTAGCACCAGTTAAAAAAAGTATGAAAGTTGATGTAGGATGTGAATCACCTAAACATTCTTCAGATTTACGTCTTTCTGGACATAGCACACCAATTCGAAAGAAGAATTATGCGTTTGATGTAGAAGACTCCCCTGAACTTGATTATCATTGTAGTCCAATTTCATTACCATGTACTCAAGATGGGGGTAACGAAATTGCATGGGATTGGCAAGTCTCTGTTACCAAATGTTCCAATGACAAATCTAAGTGTGAAACCACTGCAGTGGAAACTCCCAAAAGGACCAAACAGTTGCAAAAGAAACGAAACTCTAATTCTCCTTTACTACAAAAACCTCTTAAAAGGAAACAAGTGAAAATGGAAAACATAGAAAATATTGGAAAATTTACTGCTGAATTGAAAGCATTGTCAGAACGAATGAAAACTATGCAGCAAAATGGTAACAGCCACAGTACTGTAAATGATGACGATAATCAAGCTGAACATGAAACCAGATTATTGTTAGAAGCGGACAGTGAAAGTAATGATGACATTATGTTAGAAATTGGTGTTAACAACAAGTCTACAATAAACACCATTAGTACCAATAATAATAAAAAAGAAAATTATGAAGATCTATTTGATGATTCGGTTAACGACTCAATGGTGAAGTGCAGTCAAGAAATTGAGGAAAAATTGAAGCTAAATAATAGTAAAGGGATTGGTATGGAATTATCTACAGTGAACGAAGAGGAAGAGCTATTCTCTTCTGAAAAAGAAATGCAGCATTTGACAATATCTAATACCTCTACTACAAATTCTAAGAATTCTAATATCTTTAAAAGTTCTTCTTCGGTCAACATAAGTAGTCATTTAAAAACATATTCTAATAATTCAAGTAAAATGAGTTCCACTAGTTCAATCTCTGGTTCGGTCTCCAGTTCCAAAGATGCAAGTACACGAAAATCTCATTTTAACAATAACATACCGAATACAGAAATTGAAAATAATATCTTACAAGGAAAAGTCATGTCACAATTTCCGGATGATTCTTTTGATGATTGTTTAGCAACATGTATGGAAGATGATAAAGTATTATCTAAATTGTCAGAATATGACTTCAGTGTTTCAGACTCAGATTGTGGTTTGAATTATTCTAGAAAGTTTTCTAAACAAACTGTTACTAATACAAGTAGGAATAAAAAGATTTCAAACAGTAATGCTTCCAAGTCACAAAATTCAGTACATAACAAATCCAATAGACACAAAATATCTAAGCTTATTTTTAATGATCTTGCAGAGGATTACAAATCGGTAAACCATAAAGAAACAGTACAGAAAACCTTCATTGGTAACACTGCTTTAGAAACTAGAAAGTTCTTCAAAACAAAAAGTTTGTCGGATCAATACTTTTATCAAAGTAGGAATCCTAGTGTAAGCAATAAAACAAATAAAACTGTTGCATCATCTGAAAAGCGATTTCAGTCCAATTCAATTGTTTCATCAGTAAGTACTAGTTTTCCCATTACAAAAGATCAGAGACCATATGAAAGTAACAATATTCCATCTATTAATGGTATAGAAAATGCATGTATACTCAACAGATTGGAAGAAAAAGAAGTTGGCAATTGTATTGTTAAATACAAATCGACTAGTAATTTAGGTAGCATAAAGGAGACTGTTAAAGCATCCCACTCTGTTCAGTGTACACCTGAAGAGATAGAAAGGAAGCGGCTAGAAGCAAAGATGAGACTGGAAGCAAAAAGAAAGTCACAGCAGAATACAGGAATAACTGGTACTCCATCAGAAATTCCGGTCAAGAAGTCTGTGAAGAGGTGAAGGTGTTAAATAAAGTTCATTGCCGAGACCAGCTTCTACGATACAGTGTTGTTCCCTTTACAATTATCAATATGCCTATTATTCGCATATATGTGATTTCAACTGTGTATAATGCTAAAACAGATGATTACAAAGTCGCCAGATATTTTGTACTTTATGAAAACATTTAAATTTTAATATTGTTAGATATCATGTTAATAGTTTTTAAATGTTCTTATATTTATAATTTTCTATTTTTTGGTTCCTGAAGAAACTACTATTACCGTGTAGGAACAGTTAATCACTTACAAGAACTATATCGGTATAAGTATAGATATATATCACACTGATTTCGAAATATATTTATTTAATCGTATCATGTAACGTCTACTAACATTGTGCCTTAATATAAAAATGGTTTTGAAAAATTGAAATAAACAATTGTAACTTTTTTGTACAATATATACTAGTATTTTAACAAATATAATTCCTCCCTAAACATACTACTTTGTAGATTTGTCACAATTCAGTGATATACTTTCTCTAATTGCAGTCTTTGGTGCACCGTACAGTGCTGCTACACTGTCCGACTTGATCGGGTACATACTACTGCAAGTGGAAATTCACTTCAAAGCGTTCAGGAAACATTATTAATAATATCATCGCACTCTTAACAAATCTCGCATGTAAACAGTACGTCGAACAAAGCCTTGCTCACTGGAGAACCATACGAATTCTCTAAACACGTTACGATTACTGAGAAACATGAATATCCACCTGTGTCTGACCAATCCTACATCACATCTACTTCCTCGCTGGAGCAATTGCGCGCGGCATACCGTGTACGAGCGCGGACATTCGATCGACTAATACTGTTGAAAGAAGTGAAAGACAGAGAAAATTCGCTACGACTCGGAACAAGTCGAACAAACGTACCGGTACGACAAGAAGGTTAAACATGTTTAAACGGAACGAGCGCCATTTCGTATGCGTGTATGTATGTGGTGTATTTAGAGACGGTTCGTCGATCGATACGGCCGTCATACGTGACGTCAGACCGCCGCAACACGGCGACGTGTGACAGTCAGTGATAGTGGTGTGTGCCGGTTCGGCGGTGTACGGAACGGAGTACATACATACCTAGTCGTCGCGCGATCGGTAAGAAGAATTCTTTTTTCGATCGATTCCCGCGCGTTTAACGATCGCGCAAGCTCTTCGAGAAGGACTGATTGCGCGTGCCTGTCGATTCCCCGTAGTCAGGAGAGGACCGCGCGCGCACCCCGAGCTTTGATTGGCGGAAAAGCTCGATCGAGAGACGAGGCAAGGACAGTCGGCCAGTGGCAAGTATGGGGAGAGCACGTGTTGTTGGTATCGGTGCGCGCGACTCGTACGCCTCCTACGTCGATTCGCACGATTCTATCATCACCACCACCACCACCACCACCAGCATCACCACTATCACTAGCAGTCGGACGGACGTCGTCGGCAACAGTAGCAGCGTCGCCACCGCCATCGTCGAGAAATTATCATCATCGTCGTCCTCTGATTTCGAGAAGGAGGCGATCAACAGGCCGAAAATTGCGGTACCCTCGCGTACAACGTGTACAGTGACCGCGAATGCGAGATACGTCAGCGTACGTAGCCGGCCCGTCACGATGTTATTCGCGGTGATCGTGTTCCTCGCCGCCGGAACCAGCGCCGAGGTATTCACCAACACGTTCTTGGTGAAGATGCGGCAACCAGCGGAAAGGCATGTCGCTGATCGCGTGGCCGCCCGGAACGGTTTCGTCAATCTAGGACCGGTGAGTTTCGCCTCTGTTTCTATGGCAACGCGCCAGGGGGGGGGGAGGGAGGGCTACCCCTCTTTTATTATGTCATCTTTCGAACCCGGAAGCCCGTTTAACGGGTCTTCACGGACCGCCGGCCACTCGTCGAACGTAGGCGGATTAATCTTCTCTTGGTCGCTTAAGTGACGGGGGACGATTTATGAATTAACCGGGAAGCAAACAAAAAAAAGCGCGGTAATTTCTGGGGTACGTGTGTAAAGACAAACGGGACCGTGATGGACGTTAAAGTTGTAGATTTATAACTTTATACCTGCTTAGGTCTGGGTCGATAATCGTTTAACGTAAGGATGAAAAATTCTTCGTTTCTATGTTGCAATAAAAGCTGCGATTTCATTTCGACTGTTTCGGTGAAACGTTCATTGGTGGTTTTTTTAGTATTAATCGGTGGTGGTCAGCCAAGGAGTAGCGCTATCGCAAAATTTACATCGAAAGAGCCTGCCTTCGTAAGTTCTTGGGTGGGCTATTCTTTTTTTTTTCTTTCGTGAATACTCCCCTGCACAGCAGACGAGATCCTGACACTGACGCATGTCGCCAATCGTGGCACGTACGCGTCGCAGCCGCGTCACGGAAATTGCTTATCAGGGGTGAAACAGAGTGCGCGGCTTAGGGCGCGGATGGGGTGAATATGCTTGGATGAGAATAAAATCTTTTGTCGGACGATCGATAAGTTTGCCCGAGAAGAAAAGAAATACTCGCTAGGAACCATGAGTGTTTACGAGCGCTGGTGACTGGGCCTCGGTTAAGGACTTGGTTAGGTTTCAATTAAATTAGCTTTCTTACCCGGGTCAAATTAAGATGTACCCTACCGGGCAGAAGTTTCGTATCGCTCTATCATCTCCAGACGAAACCGAATTCTTTCCGTTAATGAACAAATTCAAGTAAATATAATATAATCCGTGATAATCCGTTTAGGATTACTTTCACAGATTCACCGATGTAAAGTAGATAAAAGTAGATAGATAGTAGAATAAATAAAAAACAGAAAAAAATGAAAAAATATAGGTCTGTTTAATATCGATATTTTCGACTTGAAAATAACAAGATACAACATATACATATGTATACATATATGTATACATCAGTCTCGTACTTTTGAAATAACGATTTACAGATCTGGACATTAAAAGGTTAAAACTAGACGATTCCAGTCGTATCGGTTCGGTATACGAAGATTCCAGCGCAGTCCGAATTTCGAATACCCGCCTGGGAGTAACGATGACAAATCGTTCGCTTAAAACAGTGGGAAAGTTTGTCGGCGTGGGTACATTTATCCTTGCTCCATTTCGCCGTTCAATTGTATCATCGGTGGACCCGTTATCGGTTCACCGCACGAACGAAGACCGATACACACCGTGGGCATGTACGATCCACCGGAGGCATTGATTCGGTGCCTGCTGTCACGAACACCCGCATTATCGCGGAGACATGTTCGAAACAGTTGGACCCGACACGTCACAAACCACGTAGGATACGTGGGTCGCGATAAGATTACCCTTATTTTCCGATCACATTCGGCTTCGAGAAGAAAGCGCACACTAGAACGAAACGTTTTTCCTTCTTTCGTGACTGGAATAATTTTTTGGTAGAATTCGCCGACGATAATACTTTCTGTCCTCCTCCTCCTCCTCCTCCTCCTCGATCTTCGAGGGAACGTTTTGTTTGGGTTGGGCCTGCACGTCGAACCCCAAGAATTTCGATTGGCAACGTGTCCTCCTCGTTTTTCATTCATTTCAGACGAAGTGGAAACATCGGTCTGCGGTCAGACGACGCAACAGTAGCGGGCCACGGCGTTGTCCAACGCCTACGCGAAACGCGTAGGCAACGTACGTACACGTCCAGCGTGCCACTCTCGTTACATTCCGATCGTACCTCGCTCGCATTATAATTTTATCCTGCAAAAAGTGTTATATGGAATTTTCCACGAGAAAGAACTTTCATCAATTTTGTACTGTAAAAAATTACTTCCTCGCATGACTTCTTCGTAGGAAAAGCCAGTTTAGCGATACGGTGCCCATAAACAGAATTATTGTGTCGGAGGCCTGCATGAATAATACTTGATTTCGAAAAAAGCCTGGTAATGCTACAAATATATTTAGCGAGCAATAACTCGCCAACAACGACGCAGACCTAAAGAAACTAGCTAAAAGGCGGACACGTTTTAAAGTACTCGCATGTAGGGATTGGACAGTTACAAATCTATTCCGACAGAGAATTTTATAGAAAAAAATGTCTGTACAGTCAGGTATGTTTTTATTGTAAAATTCTGTGCTTCGAAGAGTTAAGGAATTAATTGTTTTCTTAAGGGGTGAGTTTATTGGTAGATTGTGCACATCTACAGGAGCTGTGGAATATTATTTCGTAAGGTGACAGGAGTGATCACAGAAGTGCAAGAAATGGCCTATTACGGGCTCGACTCGCCCGTCCGATAAATTCCTCCATTCTACCATTTCTCACAACCAAAAAAGAAATCGTCCCACGAACTTTCGAGACGAAGTGTACCTATGTATTATGTTTAATAGAAAGTCTCTGTTGGAATAATGCCCGCCTGACTTGAAAAACTTTTCTCGTTACGCTTGTTCGTTCGTCGAAAGTAATTCCGTTGTCCCTTTTCGCGTGACGGTCCGTTCGCACCGGCTTGAACTGCACGTCTCACCCAGTTTCGCAAAATAGCAAATTTTCACCGAGCGGCGGGAGATTAAGAATGTTCTCCATGAACGTGTTGGATAAAAGTCGTAGCGTTAATGGGGGGAGAACGGGCTGAACGATTCAAAGGTGAGAGAGATGTTTATAGAAGGGGGTGGTGGGGTAGTTCGGATACGATAAGGAAACTCCAGGATGAAGTTGAGCCAGTTTCTTTTTCCTTTTCTTTTTTCTTCAAGCGAAACGAGTGCCGCGGGTTAAGCGTTTCTGTCGTTTCGCTGCAATTGAAACAATCCCCGGGTTTCCATTAAAGCGACGCAACGGGTTGGAGGGGGTGTAGAGACACGCGAGGGTCGACTATCGTACGAGATCGGCTTGAAATCATCGTCCTCGCTTACGAAACGTTCCTCCGGGGGCGGGCGAAATCTCTGACCCGGAGGAGCTGAAACGGGGGGTGGAAAGGCTGTACCGCAAAATAAATTTCGTTAGTCGTTGTCCGTTCCGACTTTCGGGGATTGTCTCTTTTTATTAGATCCAGTGAACCGAAGGTTGTCGGTCCTTCTCCCGGTATCGATGGGTCTACCTTTTTCGTTTCGTACAACGGTTCATCGATTGCCATTCCCAGGGTTTATTGTCTGGAACATATTACCGTTACGAACCCAGTCCCTGATCGCACTTAAGAGGAACTATCGCGGTTTTCTAATGTATATGTGGAAACATTAACCAAATCCAAAAGAATTGTTGTTATTCCAATTCATCTATGTTTTGTCTTTAATTTGGTGTTAACAAAAGTGTAGAAATAGTAATACAACTAAATTATAATGTAACCTTTAAAATAACAAGTGCAAAGAAACAGTAAATATCAAAATAGTAATTCTTTAGTAAATTTTTGAAGAATAACCTTTATTGTATTAAACTCATTACATGGTGTCTATATGTATACTAATCTGATCAAGAATTCAGTTCGGATTAGGAATTGGGTTTGTGACGGTATTACGATCGAAAAGTTTCGAAACTTTTTCATCACAAGTAGTATGTGAACTTACTACCAGTGTTTGTCGTAGTTACGCAGTGATTTTCCCGTTGAAGAGGGTCTTTTAGGTTCCCCTGAATTAGAAAGTAACTGGGTTTGATGATCGTTATCTTATCTTCGTTCTATCGGAGTCGGGGTAGAATGTAATCCTATTTTATCTGTTTAACGATTATTATCGTCGTACAGCCGATTGTATTTCTATTAGGTTATCAGGAACGAAAAATGGCAGTTTCCGTAACTCGGACGAAAGAAAACGTCGGGAACGAAATCGACAGTCACGGGAGCGAAAGACAGTCAAGTAACGCGGGACCTCGCGGGACGGGTATACTATATGTATACCGAGCGTGTAAACAGGAGTCGAGTTACATTTGTTCGTCTACATTTTCAATAATACGTTTACACATCCCTCTAACCAAGGCCAATTCTTTCCCGTTCCTTTTAGTGTACCGTTACACTAATGCCCACTCGTTACGGAACCCTGTCTTCTTGTAATTCCATACGCCCCGTCGCCGTCGTATCGGTTCTGCTTGCTGCATTGTCGGATTTATCCAACGTCATCGCCCACGCAAATAGGGAAAAGCGTAATCCTCTAATAACGATGATCAAACGTTCCCATTGTACCGTTCTCGCCGGTCTGTGGGTGAGATTCATAACAAGACGAAATCCACGAAAAGAGATCGAGTGCGGACCAATGTGGGTTCAGTTACCCAGGATGCGTCGATTCGTTATTCGAAACTCTTTATCTAGATAATGAGAATTTACCCATCTCTAAAGTACGGATGGATACGAAAGAGTCCTGACGTGTTCTGTGATTATTCTTATCGTTGTCATTTAACGGAATTGTCGTCAACAGAGTTTTCAAAATTGGTACATTCACGTTTCGAACCGATACGACTGGAGATAGTTTCAGCGCATCGTCCCTTTCCTCGACAGATGTAATCTAACCACTTTCGGGGAGAATCGATCTCCATCGTACGCAATACTTTCCAATGCCCGTGTGACGTTGTTTCACACGATCGCTCCCCGGATTTCCCCGTTCCAGTTCGCGCGACGATTAATCGTCCTCGTGACGCATCGCTGTACGACGACGACCGATTAGAACTGTCATACTCAGCGGTGACGGATTTTCATGCGCTAGAACGCGACCGAACAAAGTCGTATATCGCGTCAGCTGGGTGGCCGAGGAGACAACTCTTGGGTCCTGGGGAATCGATGGATCCTGTTAATGTCTAGCGCGAATCATACTTTGTATAAGGAGAAAGAGGATTGGCAGGGGACGTGG